CACAGAGGTGAACACAGAACACACATGCAGAGGCGAACACAAGACAACATTAGCACGACCAGTAATCCTACAAGCTGTCATCACTACCCTCCTGACTGTTCTCCTCACTGTCTTCCTCTCTGTCAGACATGGTAGCTGATGATGTAGGCCTACTACTTTCTCTCTGGTTGAGTCTGCGATTAGCTGCTTGCATCCACAAGTCAACAGCTGGGTTTGGGTTGAAAGTCCAGTTTTAAAAGGATGTTTTTGGTTACTGTCCTATAGTATACATTGGAATGATTTCAAACCTGTTTATCCCAATAATTATAAAGGAGAGCCTTGGAAATATGTGTTTACATAAATTGTGACCAAACCGTTTGAACTTAGACTAAAGTGAACTATCTAAACACTCAGAGTCCTTACCTCACTGAGCTGTAGTTATCAGTCTCTCGGTCTGACTGGAGAGGACTCTTCCTCCACATCATTGTAGAAACATCTTCTTCTTATATCCGCAGCTAGCACCAGATTCTAATAACAACAGCGCCGGTACCGGTGTACCCTCCCTCTCTCTCTCGCTCACTCGCATTTTGGCTGTGAGCTGCGGGCGCCAGATAAGCCAACATCCCCCATTTTCATCATTTACAGCGCCCATCGTACAGGGCAAATGAAACGTGTAACCGGGGTGAAAATGGTGTTACATTTACTTAATTATGGATATTGTTACATCAAGGCCGAAAATTAGGATGAGCACCAACAGTCAAAAATGTTTTTTTCCCTCCCAGAACTGCCAGCGCAGCGCCTCCACAGATCTGGCGCCGTAGGCGAAAATCAACGCCAGTGCGACGGGCCGGCCCTGAGTTCATATGCAACTCGCAAATATCTTTCTCTCTCTCTTCTCTCTCCTCTCTTCTCTCTTTTCTCTTCTCCCTTCTCCCTCCCTCTCTCTCAATGTTGGTACGCAAATGCGTTTTTTTTCAAATGACCCGGTGCTCTTTTTTTGGCCGAGGTGCGCATGCGCACCTGCGCACCAGTTATGTGCAGCCCTGGCTATAAAGGCACTACAGCACGGTCACATGACTTCACCACCGCTAACCTAAAGGAGGCTAATGTTGGGCTATAAAGGCACTACAGCACGGTCACATAATGTAAGCTAAAGGCGGCTAATGTTGGGCGTGGTGACGTTTAGTCGTCTCATTTAGACACTTGTTAGCAACCGCTCTTTTTAAATCCACCAGTGGGGTATTTTCTGACGTATTTTCTGTCATAGAAGAAAATGCTCTTCAGGTTTTGGTAACTACAGACTTTAATCCAGGATAACAATCAAAAACACTTTCAAAAACACCATTGACTTCCAGACGAGTTTAGGGCTCATGGCTGCACCACTCTATCTCCATAAATATATTGATATTAATGCTTATCATGCTTTGATAAACTGCTCGCAGTAGTAGTCATTGCTCTCATCCATCACACTAACAGGGATCTACACTAATGATGGGGGGGAGAGGACGACCATCAATCTGCTGCTGGGTGTGATGGACCGTCACCAAACTTCTGTCATGCTGTCTGCAGAGTTTAAAGATCGGGACGTTACTATTCAGCTGCTGTTTGTGACTTTTCAAAAGCAAGAGAACAATGCGTTCACACCACCAAGGTGAGAGCGTCTGTCCCCTCTGTGACAGCGAGGTGTCAGAAAGTAAGTGCACTTATCAGCCCCCGGAAAAAAAGCACTCATAGATAAATGCCCCCTTTTTTTGTCACAAATGACATCTCAATATGAGTTTTAAAGCCAGATGAGATTTTTCTGTAAAATACCAGCAGAGCTCTCACCAGGCTGGATTACAAAATTGGGTTATTACACTGTAGAGCCACTTAGAAGAAGGATGCAAGGCCCTCAGTGATTTTAGATTATGTTAAATTGCATCATTACTGGGTGAGAAAAAGCTCTTCAAAGAAGCCAAAGTGGGGCTGAAACATCATAACATGAACAATGCATGAGGATGGTTCACATTATATGTCAAAGTATGCTGAATATTACTTTCCTTTTAACACTATAGTTATAACAAACATTTGGAAATTAGCATAAATAGCATTCCCCAAGTTATTATGCAGCAGTGTCCTTTTATATATCCAAATAAAGAAAGTCCTCAAGTCCCTTTGAGTCGAGTAAACAGTTTTGCTGACAACAGAGGTATAAGAAGTACTCAGATCTTGTACTTGAGTAAAAGTAGAAGTACTCAGATCTTGTACTTGAGTAAAAGTAGAAGTACTCAGATCTTGTACTTGAGTTAAAGTAGAAGTACTCAGATCTTGTACTTGAGTTAAAGTAGAAGTACTCAGATCTTGTACTTGAGTAAAAGTAGAAGTACTCAGATCTTGTACTTGAGTAAAAGTAGAAGTACTCAGATCTTGGACTTGAGTAAAAGTAGAAGTACTCAGATCTTGTACTTGAATAAAAGTAGAAGTACTCAGATCTTGGACTTGAGTAAAAGTAGAAGTACTCAGATCTTGTACTTGAATAAAAGTAGAAGTACTCAGATCTTGTACTTGATTAGAAGTACTCAGATATTTTACTTGAGTAAAAGTAGAAGTACTCAGATCTTGTTCTTGAGTAAAAGTAGAAGTACTCATATCTTGTAGTTGAGTAAAAGTAGAAGTACTCAGATCTTGTACTTGAGTAAAAGTAGAAGTACTCAGGTCTTGTTCTTGAGTAAAAGTAGAAGTACCAGAGTGTAGGAATACTCTGTTTCAGTAAAAGTCCTGCATTCAAAATGTTCCTCAAGTGAAAGTAGAAAAGTATTCTAATCAAAATATAGTGAAAGTAGCGACAGTAAAAGTAGTCGTTGTGCAGATTGGTCCATTTCAGAATAATATATATGATATGTTTTATAATGATTGATCATGAAAGTGTTCTCAAAGCTGGTAAAGGTGCAGCTAGTTTGAATGACTTTGTATACTGCAGGGTAGCTGGTGGATTTACTCCAGGTGGAACTAAAGTCTGATTTAACACTTGATTAGATTTACCATCATTCATCCACATCTGTGAAGTAACTAAAGGGATTAAATACATGTAGTGGAGGAAAAGTACACCATTTACCTCTGAAATGTAGTGGAGTAGAAGTAGAAAGTAACATAACATGGAAATACTCAAGTAAAGTACAAGTAGCTCAACATTGTACTTAAGTACAGTGCTGAATAAATCTACTTACTTTACATCACTGGCGGTCAGCTCTATACAAATGTCAGCAATGACAATTCATTGAGTCCTTTTTTAATCGAATGTTCTGTATATCCGAAGTCAAATGTTTGAGTCTGAGCTCCAAATATTTGTCTAGTCGTTAGTCGTCTAATTGGCTCATTAGACTTGACAGAATGACGACTGTGTCATTTGTGTGGTGGTTCATAATGCAATGTGTAATCCAGGAGAAATTGGTCTACTTCCCAATGTTTTTTTTTTTTAAACCATAAGGATTCAAACAACTTAATCCAAGCGTGGGAGAAAATGGATTTGGCATTTAGTGAACAATACTGAGAGCAGGAGGTGAGACTTTTAAATTATAACCCTTTAATGGGGTTGTTAGGTTGAATTGATTGAGTATTGACCTTTAACCTCAGTACACCTGAACTCTTTTTCAAACAACCTGTCCATTTGGGTTATTTGATGTCTCTGTTACCTTCATATTAAATTAAGCTTCTTCTACTTCATTATTATGTTCTATCTTTTAGGGCAGACCATTGTCATCATGGTTTTTGGACTTCTTTAAATCAATCCAATAATGACCAACATCAATCAGGGAACCACTTATATCTGTGCAAAGAAAATAAAATCTATATATTTTGTATTATCCTATGTTGTATGTTGCATCGCTGGAAGAATCTAGGACTTTGTTATTGCCATCCACTATGCTGTAGCCAGTGTGCATATTCAATTCAATTCATATAGCCCAATATCACAAAACACATTTGTCTCAATAAAGCTGACAAAAAAACTATAAACTATGACAATAAAGCTTTTTAAACGTGACCTTGCAAGAGATAGATAGATAGATAGATAGATAGATAGATAGATAGAGATAGATGGCTAAGGCTGATAGAATCGACTCGAGAGAAGTGATGATGGCTAGATCGCTCGCTCGCTCGCTCTCTCGCTCGCTCGCTGGCTAGCGCGCGCTGGCTGGCTCTCGCTAGCGCGCGCTCGCGATCGCTGGCCGTCGAGAGCGCGTCGCGGCTGGCTCGCTCGCCGCGCTCGCGCGCGCGCGCTGCGAGCGCGCGCGCGCTCTCGCGCTCGCGCGCGCGCTCTCGCTGGCTCGCTCCGCGCTCGCGCGCGCGCTCGCGCGCTCGCGCGCGCGCTCGCGCCCGCGCCGCGCTGGCTCGCTCGCTCGCTCGCGCGCGCTTGCTCGCTCGCGCTCGCGCGCGCGCTGCGCGCGCTGGCTCGCTCGCGCTCGCGCGCGCGCCTCGCGCGCGCTGGCTCGCTCGCGCGGGGCCTCTCGCAGCGCTCGCGCCCGCGCGCGCTCGCTCGCTCGCTCGCTCGCGCGCGCGCGCGCGCTGGCTCGCTAGCGCTCGCGCGCGCGCTAGCGCGCGCGCGCTGGCTCCTCGCAGCGCTCCTCGCGCGCGCGCTTGCTCGCATCGAGCGCTACGCGCGCGCGCCTCCGCGCCCGCGAAGCGCTGGCTCGCTCGACGCGTCGCTCGCCGCTGCGCCCGCGCGCCCTGGCTCGCTCGCGCCTCGCGCACCTGATCGCGCGCGCGCGCGCGGCGCGCGCTGCGCGCGACGCGCGCGCGCCCCGGGCTGGCTGCTCGCAGCAAGCGCTCGCGCCTCGCGAGCGCGCCGCGACGACCCACCGCTCGCGCCCTGGCCTCTCGTCGCTCGCGCGCGACCTAGCGAGGGAGATAGAGAGAGAGAGAGAGAGAGAGAGAGAGAGAGAGAGAGAGAGAGAGAGACTCATTCTAAGTGCATTGTAAGGATTTTCCTGCAAACACAACAGACCCATTTCTCCCTGACTGACAGATTGATGTCCCGTCCTCACCTGGAATGTTGTGGATGGTGATGGCGAGGATGAGGAGAACAATCCGTCTCCAGCTGCTTCCTGTCTGCCCGACACCTTCCTGTTGTTTACTTCCTGTGTCCTGTCCGTCTGAGCTGGCAGTGTTAGGTCCTCTCCTCCTCTGGTACACATCTCCATTATCTGATTTATCTGCAAAAAAACCCAGAGGAGAATAATGTTAGTAAACTTTAACGGAACATTTTCAAACTTTTCGAAAAGAGACAATCCTCATATCTCTGCTACTTTGTAGATAAACTCTCCAGTTGTTGAGTGGTGAAAATATAAGAAAATGTAATGTTTTTTTACTCCTTCATTACTTTCTTGGTGTAACCCAACGAGGTATACCACCATGAATATCTTCAAGGTGAAACTGTCTGATTTTGTGCACATTCATCTCCATTTCTTCAATGATTTGTGTCCAAAATGACAACAAAATTGCAAATAAATCTTGAAAAATCCCCAAAAACATTCTTCTCACCACTCCACACATTGCTTCCTCACAATAATTACATGAAAACACAATTAAATGAGATATATCCATCCAGTTTTTGGCTGTTTTTTTTACTGCTATTCCAATAAAGTGGAAGTAGGGAAGCTGTGGCTCAGTGGATAGTGTGCTGGACTTCGAATCAGGGGGGTAAGGCAAGGCAAGTTTATTTATATAGCACCTTTCAACACAAGGCAATTCAAGGCGCTTTACAAAAATGAAAGACATTCAGACAAAGGCATTTAAAAACAGTCAAAGATAATAAAAGAAACATTAAAAGAAAAAGTACATGAATACAAAGTTACAGTGCATTAAGATATGAATAGTTCACACAGAAGTTCCACTTTACTGATGAACACAACCGCTCCGTTTCAATTAAAAGCAGCGACAAAAAGAAAAGTCTTCTTGCTGGATTTAAAAGTAGTCAGAGTTGCAGCGGACCTGCAGGTTTCTGGGAGTTTGTTCCAGATATTTGGAGCATAATAACTGAACGCTGCTTCTCCATGTTTAGTTCTGACTCTGGGGACAGAAAGCTGACCAGTCCCTGAAGACCTGAGAGATCTGGATGTTCATAATTTAGCAGGAGGTCAGAAATGTATCCTGGGCCTAAACCATTCAGTGCTTTATAAACCAGCAGCAGTATTTAGAAATCTATTCTTTGACACACAGGAAGCCAGTGTAAAGACTTCAGAACAGGAGTGATGTGATCCACTTTCTTAGTGTCAGTGAGGACTCGAGCAGCAGCGTTCTGAATCAGCTGCAGCTTCCTAATAGATGTTTTAGTGAGACCTGTGAAGACACCATTACAGTAGTCGAGTCTACTGAAGATAAAAGCATGGACAAGTTTTTCCAAATCCTGCTGTGACATTAGTCTTTTAATCCTAGATATATTCTTTAGGTGATAGTAGGCTGATTTAGTAACTGTTTTAATGTGACTGTTGAAACTCAGGTCAGAGTCCATGACTACACCTAGATTTCTGGCTTTATCTGTTGTTTTGAACATTGCAGACTGAAGCTCAGCGCTAACTTAGCAAGTTCGAGTCCCACTGCAGTCAGCATGTCGTTGTGTCCCTGGGACACTTCACCCCAAATTGCTCCTGTGGGGATTGTCCACAGGACTGAGTATGTAAGTCGCTTTGGAGAAAAGCATCTAACATATGACATGTAATAAAATAAAGTGGTGCAGGAATGAGTCCTAAACCCAGATATGAGTTAGCATTTGACCACTTCCTTTTCCCTCGTCTGGAAATCAATATGTTTTTGGTTTTGAGATCACAAGAGAAGGAAAGTGTCAAGAGGTGCATCCAATAAAGCCTAAAAAGACACTCAACATTTCAAAGGCTAATCAAGACTGCTAATGATGTTGACAGGCACGACAAACAAAACCCTCACATTTATAGGTCAAGCATCACGAACCTTTGATTACATTAATCAGAGCTTCTGTCACTCAATACAAACTTCCTGTGGAGCATTGCCATCAGTTAAGATAAGATAAGATGTGTTTGTTGCAGCAGCAAGACAAGGCATTTTACAATAAAACTAGAAATAAACAAGAATAGAAAGAAAAGAAAAGAAAATAGAAAATATACATGTAGAATTTGACAAGATATTATATATATACATAAAAATTAGGGCCGGGACTTTAACGCGTTAATTAAGATTAATTAATTACACAAAAATTAACGCATTTTAATCGCACTTATTTTTGCACCGCGGAACGTTTCTCACTGGATGAGTTTCAGGCGTACCGATTATACTGGAGCACCAACTAACGTTCATGACTTCAGACAACAACAAACCACAGTGAACAACAGTGGGAAATGTTGTTTTCAAAAACGGACGGATGGAAGCGTCGTTAAGAGCACGGTTGTGTGCAAATTATGCAAAAAAGAATTCGCATATCACCGCAGCACATCAAGCCTCAAGTATCACCTCAATGCAAAACATATAGCAGCTAGCGTGGAAGCTAGCGTGGACGTTAGCCTCTTTTATCGCGTTCACACCAAAAAGAGCCGGTACTAAAATTAGTTCATGAGAACCTTTTTACCCCCACGAAAGTCCCTGCTAGAGAGCAGAGAGCTGCTAGAGAGCAGGGACTTTCGTGCGGCTCTCTTGTGAGAAAAGAGCTATATTTCTGATTGGCTGGGCGGATTGCAAACCACGCCCCGTAAAACTCCCAAAAAGTTTTGTGAAGCCGCCATTTTATTATCCTCGCATTAGCATTATTAGCATTAGCCCAGCGCAGAAACGCAGAGAGACTAACTTATGGCAACACAAAATAAAACATGGGAGCGGTGGAGATGAGGAGGTGTCGGCGTTCTGGCGATTTACTCGGAAGGCTGCTGGGACTCCCAGCAGCTTCTACTGAAGCCAGTCCCCAACTCCGGGGACTTCCGGCCGGGGACTTTGGGCGGCAGTATACGCCGTGAAGTGGTTTGCGGCCTGCCAGTAAACCCAAAGCAGAAGAAGAAGAAGTGACGTCAGCGGCTTCATTTGCCTAATCCACCCCCAGGTTCAAAGAGTTCTCATGAACTAAGTTCTCATGAACCTTTGTGGGAAAAGTACTGCGGTGTGAATGTGCCTAATGGTATACTAAAATCCATGTGAAAAAAAATTGCTTCTCACTGTTCTCAGGTCAAATATTTATATGTGATTAAAAATGCGATTAATTTCGATTAATTCATTACAAAGCCTCTAATTAATTAGATTAATTTTTTTAATCGAGTCCCGGCCCTAATAAAAATATGACATGGAATATTAATATTAAACAGTTATAGTTAAACCACAAGATACTTGAATCATACAGAACACAAATATGACACGCCCCACAGAGGAACTCGAGTTTAGATGGTACAGGAGTGGAGCTCTGACAAAAGCTTGCCAATAACCACAAGAATAAATGGTATAATTCTCCATGGGCTGACAAATTGAATGAGCGTTTTATTAATGAATTCCTTTCTTACAAAAAAATGTAATCAAAGTCTTAATTGCTTTTTAAACGGTCCCCATTTCCTAATTGACTACAATCAAACCATGTAATGATCTCAGAGGTACCTGTGCAGACTCTAAAGCACATGTGTCAAACTCAAGGCCCGTGGATTTAATTTCAGCTCGCAGGATAATTTATAATTATCTAATTACTATTAGATCTAGCCCGCCGGTATATTGCACGCACACCTTCACTCCATCCTGAGGGTCTCCTCCGCTCAGAGCCTGAGCCCAAACATTGATGACCTTGCACCCAAGATGAGATGCCAAGTATCTGAGCTAGCATCACAGAGCAGCACACTGAGTTTAATGGATGCTTCCTTCTGCACTTTCTCTCAGGACAACAGGGCATGTTTGGTTTTCTCTGTGAGAGGAATAGTTTTGTTGAAGCTGTTGTTGGCCTGTGGAGAAATGTACTCATAAGAAATGAGTCTGGAAAAGCTGCAGATAGAGCCGTAAGAAATGCATGCAGCTGATTATTTAATGTTTAATGTTGTTTTTAGAGGCAATAATTGAAGCTTTGTTAGTTCCAGGTTTAATATGTGCAATAAGTTCATTTCAATAAGTTCTGCAATAAACATTGAACCAGTCCGGCCCTCCACTAGTACCCATTTCTTTATTTTGGCCCACTGTGTATTTGAGTTTCAAACCCCTGATCTAGTGGTTACCTGTTTCCTTCCTATCCGTTCTTATCTCTATCTGCTTCCATCTCTCTCTCCTTCCCATTTTCCTCATGAATTCTCAGACATCGGAACTCAATTACTGCGTTCCCAGTGTCTTGTTTTGCCGGCTGTGATTTCGTATTATGTGACGGGGAAAAGGTCAAAAGGTCTAATGGCTGTTTGCTCGTGGTGTTTCCTTAGTCAGTGGATTTTTTCAAAATCCAAACGCCCTTAATCCTTTTCTATCCGAATGAACTTCCAAAAGTATTAACCCGTGACAAAGGGACACCACAAACACAACATCCAACCATGTGTTTAGTTGTGTGATACTGATAAAAGGAATGGTGAACATCATAAGTGCTTTTACAATCTAATGCAATTCAACAACATTTTGACGGCTGAAAACCTTTTTATTATTTCTCTTGCCAGTTTTTCTGTTTGTCTTGTCTTTTTTTAATGCATTCAATATAAAGAAGACATGTCAGTAAATCATACTCTACTCTAGTCCGTCCTGTGTTAGCCCTTTTTTCAGAAACCTATTCCCCTTATGCACGCACCATTATACAGCCTACTTGGCAATAAACCTGATTAGGATTCTGATTGAATTCACTAAACTCATTGTGATTTAAAAAGGTTTTATGCAGTTGTTTGACCCAAGTGGAAGAAGACGAGGACGATGAAGATGACGGGATTATTTGGGTTTTTATTGCGGTATTTACTGCTCCCTCCTCCTGTCTCTGTGCTGATTGAGATCGTAAAACGCTTTCTCCCCCCTCCTCGTCACCGGCCTGATGACCCGATATCTTTCTTCCTCACTCCACTGCTCCTCATTAATCATCTTCATCCTCCTCTTCCCCCCCCACCTCTTCCGGCTTACGGGTGTGTTATAATACATTTAATAACATTTAAATATGATCAAATTCATCCATAAGTGCTCGTATTTAAGTCTACTGTTATCAATAAGTCAAAAAAGTACTGAAGACCTATTATATAAGATTACAATTATAATATTAGGGCAAATTTATGATTATATATTTGTGATATTTTGGTCTGGGGTTGTTTTTTCA